TTGTGATGGCCCTCTCAAGTCCAGCTCGTCTGGAGATGAATGGAGCCGCCAGCCCACTCCAGTATCCCACAATACTGCTCATTAACACTTCAAGGCTCTCGCGCTGCTGCATTATGGATCCGAATGAGCATAAGAAAAACAACAGGAACCAAGGCGGCACGCTCGTCTGTCATCAGGTCAAACCAAACTTAGCATATGTGCTGATAATTAATGAGGTCTGTTGGCGAATCAGAAGCTGCCAGCTGCTTTCGCCATTATATGGAGCCCAGTTTTTAATTTAAGCCACTTCCTTTTTGCAATGATTGTGTGTTTTCACACCTCCCAGGACCGAAACGCACCATGTCTAAATATACACACACATCACAGAGGTGGAGACGCCCTCACATCTGTGTTAAACTGCACTTAGGCATCTGGATCGTGTCTTTCACCAGCACCTCCCTGCTTCGACTTATCCGGTGACGAGCTCCTCCTGTGCAGGGTGCCACTCCCTCCCTGGTGCCTTTAAACTAGAGACTGACCACCTGGTTAGTTGAGTTTAGATGAACAAAACCAAACTGGGGGAACGCTGCTGCTGTTTTTATGTAAAATTGAAAGTGATACCGATAAGTGTACTGCAGTAAAATGTAGGATATCCAACTGTGAAATGGAGGGAAGGAGAAGTAGTGTCAAGTGGCTTATAATGGGCATACCAGTCCCCCAGGTATGGTACTGCAGTACATGTACTTTGCACCACTGATCTTGTGACTGAAGCTACAGGATTATTGGCATTCACTGATTGATAAGATCCCCATGTGATCAGCCACTGTAAGTTTGAACTGCAACACAACACCCTGACAAACAGATGAATGAAAGGAGGGAGACATCACTCTTTCAACTCATGATAAGACAACACGGTGAAACCTGCGTGGTGTCAACACTCGGTGTCCCGCCCAACCGCTTAAATACTTAATTCTTCCATATTGAATTCCCTTAAAATAATTCCAGCACCCGGCTGCTGCTGCTCCACTTTCATGGCAAAGAAAACCAACCCAGGACCAGGGATCAGCTTTCTGATCGAGAGGACGAGTCAACTCATTACATTCATTTTGGTCAGGACAGTAACCACAGCCAGTCAGCAGAGACTCGTTGGATTTATAAATGTGATCAGCCTGGTGCTAATTACTGCTGGAAGAAGTATGCAGGTCCTTTACTTCACTACAAGTAGTAATACCACAGTATAATAATACTCTGTCACTGGTAAAAGTCCCACTTTCAAAAGGTTACATAAGCAAACCTGCAAAGGTATCAGCATCCAAATAAACCTGATGTTAATGTCTCTGATTTTACTGGGTGATACTGATGGATGTATTACTGTGTCTGCAACAAACATGACTAATACCAATACTGTAAATTATCTATCTATCTATCTATTTATCTAAAGATGTATAAATATCTGCCTGCTTCAGGTGTGTGACGCTGCACTCATGCTGCTGTGCTGCCTCCTGCTGGTGTAACTCTGTATCGTTGGCTGTTTGCCACTAGGTGATGGTAGTAGGCACAGTAGGCCCACCAGAGCTGCATCCACTGCAGTGACTGGTCTCCGTCTGTCACTGCCACCCTTCACTCCCCACCACGCCTCCTCCTATCAACATCAGACCTCCTCCCTGCTTCTAGTCTTGTCTTTCTACCTCCTCCTCCCAGTCTTCTACTTCTGTATCCAACTCCTACTCCCTCTCCTTGAGCTCCTCCACTTGTGTCCTGCTCTCGCCTCTTCTCCCCCATCTTCCTCCTAGACCTCCTCTTGGTCCTGGTAACACCTGTCTCCACCTGCCACTACTACTCCTCTTCCCCCTCTACCTCCTCCTGATCCTTGTAACTCTCCTACTCCTCCTCCATCCTCTTGTAATCTTTTTCTTCCTTCTTCTCCTCAGCCTCCTCAGCCTCCTCCTCCTGTTCCTCCTTCCCCTTCTCCACCTGGCCTTACATTTCCTCCTCCTCTTGCTCATATTCTTCCACCTCCTAGTCCTCCTCCCACTCCAGGACTTCATCTTCCTCCTCCTGCTGCTCTCCATCAGAGTCTCTGTCCCCCTCCTGGACCAGACCATTTATAGAAACAGGGCAGGCACGTGACAACCATAGCTCATAAATGGGTCTGTGTAATCCCTGGATCCTGCAATCACACCACTCGTGTTTCCATCTCTTCAGAGGACACTACACTGGCTCACATCCATTTCTTTGGAAACCAACTCCAACCTTACCCCGGAGCAAGTCTTCATCCCAAAGATGAAGGGTCCACGTTAACGGGGACATGGTCTGTCCCAGCTGTGTTTGGTTAGAGTGTGTTCACCAGTCAGATCAGACTATTGACAGCTGGAAACATGGAGGGGCTCTAAAATCAGTGGTGCAAAAGATCTGAGGGCACATCTGTGAGCTGACACCAGTGCTCTCCCTTAAAGCCCTGAGGTGTTTCTAGAGAGGAGGAGCCGATTCGTAGTCATCCGACCCCCCCCCCCCCCCCGTTTCGACACCTGCAGACTGAATCGTCTCCTCAGGAGAGAAACATTCTAACATTCTCACCAAGTGACCACTTCTAATTAACTGCACCTCCAACCCAGTAATAGCAGCCATAATTAGAGGTCTGTGGGAGGTCAGTGGGAGATTAAACGAACCACCTCAGTTTGCACTTGTTACCTTTTTTATTCACAGCAAACCGTTTTTAGTACCTGACAGGGACGTGACACAGACCACTGTGCCTCAGGAGGTAAAGCGAGCCATCCCCTGACTGCAGGGCTGCGGTTTGATTCCCGGCCTCTCCATGTCACAGTGCTGGGAACCTCGTGTTGCTCCATCGTCATCTGTGTGTGTGTGTGTGTGTGTGTGTGTGTGTGTGAGTGAGAGAGAGAGAGAAGATACAGTACAGCTCTCTGACTGCAAAGAGGAGCTCTACAAGTCCATTCACTATGAGACAATGGGGCCTACAGACATGCCCCCACCTCTCCTACACTGCTAGGAACAAGCCTGGGTCTGTCAGACATCATCAACCTGGTCTGAGTGGAATTCAAACAAGCACACTTCTCTTTTGGCTAATATGGGTTTGTTTGTTTGTTTGTTCATTTAGAGAAAAACGATTAATCGAAATATTAAAAAATAGTGGCAGCTCAGTGGTTGGTCTAAACACTTGTTAGTTCAAGCAGCGACAGCGGCAAAGTTTCAGTTTCACCACAATCCACCCATCTGTTTTAGTTTCCCTGCAGAGCCTCCTTCTGACATCTGAATACAAAAGCACCGCGCATTTGATTTAACTAGTGTGGTGCAAAAGTAATGCTGCACACCACATCTCACATCTTTTGGCTGGACCTGTAACCTGTACATCGCCTCCTGTGCAGCAGCTGCACCACTCTGGATTGGAAAGTCGCAGAAAGACGTTCTGTTTGTGTGAAAAGATTTTGTGGAGGAGCTTGAGGGGCCTCTAACTACAAGAAAGCTGCAGGGCAGCGGTTGTTTGGACGTGTGTGCGCCTGGAGAAGACACTTACCTCCTGCCGAAGATCCTTGTGAAGGTCCCGCTGGTGTGGTGGCAGGGGGGGGCAGAGGCCGCCGAGGGCGGCTCGGTGCTGGAGGAGGACGAGGGCTGCTCTCCGTCGTGCAGAGAGGAGCTGTGCTGCGCCTGCGGCTCCTCCTCTGGCTGCTGCTGCTGCTGCTGCTCCTGCTCCATGGCCGCCTCGGTCAGAGCCCCCTCCCTGCTGCTGCTGCTCCTCTCACAGCGGCCCTGAGGTCAGCGCAAAGGTGACACCGACCCGGCGGCTGCCAGCCATTCTGACAGCTGCTCCAACTTCACTCACAACTTCAAGTGTCAACACAGGAAGTGCAGCCGTGCGCGTCTTCGCTCTGCTTCAGTTTGCACCAGGAAGCAGCAGCGTTCACAAGAAGCCAGAAGAGGCAGCAGGAGGTGGGCTGCCCTCCTCTAAACTGCCGTCCTCGCTTCCTTCCTTCCTTCCCTCAGCCCTGCTGGTCCGAGGACGCCTCTGTGTTCTTCGTGCTCTCTGGACAGCAGAACGCCCAGGGAGCCCACAGCCCCGAGCAGAAGCCGTCTAGAAGCAGCTGCTCCGTCCCCCGACCTGTTGCTTCTCCCACACCTCCTTTGCTTTCTGTTCTCGCAGTCGTTTGTTTCTGCTGCTTGGCGAACTCTTTACTCTTATCTCTGCTCTGTGGCTCTCCCTCTCTCACCTCCTGTGTCCCGCCCTACCCCAGCTCTCTGCCTCTGATTGGCTGAGAGGCAGAGGTGAGCGTTGTGCCACCTGCCGGTGCTTCTGAGTCCGTGCAGCTGCTGAGGAGGCAAAAAAAGAGGAAACGAGCTCTTTCTCCTCCCAGGAGCTGTAGTGTCAGCAACTAGAGCGTCTGAGTCCAAAATCTTATCAGCATCTTTAAACCAGTACATTAATTATTATCTTATTTAACAACGTCATCTTTAAAAAATAATACGAGATTATAAGATTAAAACTGCAAAGTTACTGAGATGATTTATAAACACACAGAGCATTAAAGAGGGAACAGTGTCTATTTTAAAACGCTCAGGCCCCCCCCCGCAGCTTGAACAGCCCCCTCCCGCTGTGCCTCTGGTGAACAGCTGTTCTGGGTGCAGGAGGAGCAGACACACATTTCCGTATGTCACCACGTTTTTCACCTACTCTTTAAACATTGGAGAGATGGCGGTGTTCGTGGCCGCCTGTGACCACGCTGTTAAACAGCACGTGATGTGTGTGATCGTGTCTGACCAGAAGCATCGGCCCCGGGCAGTTTGTTTTCACTTTCACCTGCTGGAGGAGGAACGTTTCTCTGAGCTCACCTCAAATCTCAGTTTAACACCTGGATGCACCTGCACGGCCAGCTCGGAGCCAATCAGAGCCTAGTATGAAACTGACACAGATGGAAACCTGAAGCCTGCTGCAGACCACAAACAGAGGCTTTACAGTGGCGTGGGAGACAGCTGGTGTCCTGAAAACCAGAAAGAAGAGCTACCTGAGCGCGCTCCTCGACCTGCTCTCCTGAAGCCCCTACGTAAAGGTGGAGAAGTAACTCGCCCTGAGGGACACAGAGAGAGAGAGAGAGAGAGACAGAGAGCCCTGCAGAGAAGCAGGCTCCTCACCACGGCCACGTGGCGACCTCCTCCTCCCAGTTACAGCCGCGGGTCTGCTCCTGAAAAGTTCCCATCCAGATGTGATTTAGGACAAATTAATGCAGTTATAATGCCTCAGTAATAATGTGCCCCATGGGTTTTAAATTACTTTGAACTAATTGCTCTAACCAAGTCCTATGAGTATGTCAGTATTCTTTACTGTGTTCAAATGTTTCATTGGTGGAGGAGTACTCTTTTAGGCTACCTCAGTAAACGTAGCAGTAAACTAATACCAAACTATAGAGATACTTTGGCCTGCAACAACATTAACAGGAGAACCTCTGAAGTATATTTTATAGTGCGGTGTTTCTAGTTTTACTGATACTTCTTGTGAACCTCTATTGAACTGCCTAGGACAGAACTCCTGATGATGAGGATGAGGATGAGGATGATTCAGTTGCTGGACAGTGTGACAGCAGATGAGGCCTACAAGCTGTCAGCGCAGCTCCAGCAGCAGCAAGCTGAGGCGTCCTGTCACATTGCCTCATCCAGACCCTCTACTTCTGTTCCCTTTATCTCAGATCAATCCTCCTTAAAGGGTCAGTTCACTTAAATTACAAAATGTAATCGAGTGGCTCCATCACCAGCAGCAGACCGAGCAGTGAGCAGCTGCTGTGTGCAGCGTCCCCATAGACGTACAGGCAACTGGATCACTGCGAGGCCGAAGGGAACCTAGTACCAGGAGGGTTCTCAGCCGGGTTCTGCAGCCTCTGCTCCTCTGGTTTGTCAGTGGGTTTTTGGAGGGTTGTTCTGGAGGAACAGCAGAGATGATGACCTCATCAGGAAATGGACGTCACACTGAATCAGATCAATATGTGTTTCAGTTTAATTCACCTCTGTATCTCTGCCTCCACCTGAGTTCTGCTGTGCCCCCCTGAGGAGGCTTTTGTCTGAAGCTCTGTCCACATCACAGGCCTCTGTCTCATGTTTGTCCTGTGACGTTTCACTGGTGCTTGGTCACATCCACCACATGTCAAATCTGATCTTATTGTGTTGCTGCTTCCTGTCTGTGTGTCAGTGTCATGTACCTGGCTCCGGTGTGAACACCACTGAGCTCCTAAACTGCCACACATGCACAGATGTAACTGAAATGTGAGCCACATGCACAAGAGAATAACAATCAGGTCGTCTGTGCTGCGGTCAAATGGCCCAGTTTCCTCCCAGACCGCTGGGTTACAATATGTTCCTTCTAGTTTGGCTTGATCAGATGCTTCTCCATAAATATCCAGCACATGGAGCACATATGCAGGTGGCCCAGATCTGACCTGCGAACACCTGGCGTGGTTTGTTCACACTCCTGTGGACACATCAGGTGTGAGTCACTCAGTAGATGATGTGTACACTCATGGTCTGCATGTCTGTCACAGACCAGGGCTAATTGTCATTTGATCGATGATTGAAAATACTGAAGAACACAGTGAAGGTTTAGTTCACTACTATGAGCTTCATCATATCTGAATGTGGATTCTGGTGGGTGACCTGACCCTTTAAGGAAATTGCTGGGACCAAATCAGTGCTTTCTTCTCACAAAGCAGCACAACCAGGTGCATCAGCGAGATCTGCTCTGAACTCACCTACAACTGCGGAGGCCAGACTCTCCGCTCAGGGCTGAAGAGACAAGGTTGGTCTCTGACAGGTAGTGAAGTCACAGTATGAAGTAGCAGGCCATGGTCTCCACTGCTCACCAAGTCTGCACCAGGTGTCGTGTGTTGTTGACAGATTGTTGATGTATAGTTGTGTTGACTCCAGACCTTTAAAAGCTGTGACATTAACTTCAGAGGAGTAAGTGAGGACTGTGACAGAAACCGTGTCACGGCCTGGCCTCCATCCACATAATCTCATCAGCCCGCTGCTCTTGGGCCGATGGCCGCTCTGCTCAGCCTCCTCCTCGTTAGTGGCTGTAGAAACTGGCTTGGAGCAGCTCTCCGAGCACGCACACACGCTCTGGAGGTTACTGTAATCTCATTACTCTTCAGTATCACAGCAGCATCATGCACTGCTGTTCATTATGTACATTACAGACCCAGCAGCAAATATCAACTGAATTCTACCAGGACTTAATGAAGCCCTGAATGAAAAACTTGGAAAAATCACTTTCCTTCTGTGAGGCAACAACAACTTTGGACTCTGATTTCAGGAGGGACGACTATTCCACAGCTGGGCCATCACTGAGCGGCGTGGCTGTGATGTCAGTTTTGTTCCTGTGAACAACAGGTCTGAGGCTCGGTCAGAACGCTGCAGGGGTTTTGTGTCTGTTTGTGCTCATTTTGCCCCTTTCATGGTTCTTTTCTGCAGATTTGTGATCACTTTGTGTCTGGTGGTTGTTGTGAGTCTCTCTGTGATTGGCATGTGTTTCCTTCAGTGATGAAGATGAGGGGCCCTCTGACCCTTATGGCCCCTGGGCCTCGTTCAGTAGCCCGTCCATGCCTGAGTCCTGCTGCTGACTTTACTCGGCAGCAGAAGCTGGAGGAGCAGCACTGCAGATGCTTTCAGGCCTCAGTTTTCAGCAGCAGACGTGAAGTGGAGCTACAGTGGGAGTGGGCAGACACAGAGACTTCACTTCCACCCCCGAGACTCTCCCTTACATAAAGAGCGTTATGAAACATCGTCAACAATCTGCTTTGGTTCATATGAGCCTGGTCGTGAGTCACTTCCACCACAGCCGGAAAAAGTAACAGAAGAGCTGCGATTATGTCATCAGAGCACAAGATTTTACTGCTCCACACGTCCCAGTAATGTAGCAGTAAGAGTGTTCAGAATACTGTGGGCTGATCCAGTACACCTTCACTTTGTTCTACTTTTCTACAGGCTCATTTGTTTTAGATTGGCTATTTAGATACCTTCACTTTAAGAATGTATTTATGACCAGTTGCACACATATGTTTGAGCTGATGGCCTTTGGTGTTAGTTCTCTAATAGATATGTGTCTGTTGATCTCTGGGGTGAGCAGTGCATCATACAGGTCCCTGACAGAGACACATACAGCGTAAGGCTGAGCTGCAGTGATTAGTAATTTGCAAATATGAATACAGTACAAAAATATTCAACAGAAAACATATTTTGGGTAACTCTTCATTCCAGCATACTTCTAACTAATCTGCCAAGTTCCTGGACAGATCCATCATCTGGTAATAAATAGATCAGCTGGTGCGCGTCCAGTTCTTTCTGAATGCTAAGCTAGCACAACCTGTAAAGTAAATACAAACAGTAAAGAAATATTCACAGTAGTTTAAACGGGGTCATTTCTTTCATTAAATTCATCTGGAATTTAGTAACAAGCTCAACACAGCTCAACTGACAAACTATTTTCCTGAAATTAAAACCAAATTCCAGGACAGTTTCATTAGGAATGAACGGACATGTAGAATAAAGTGTTATTGCATTTTGTTCCATTAACAGACAAAGAGGGAATTGCTTTTGATAGAACA